TATATGTATATATATTTGGGAAAGAAGACTGAGAGACTTAGTGCTAGCTTCTGAATCTCGCCACATGCAGAGCTGATGTCCAAGCAATATGGCCACAGAAGAAATGATAACATAGACACCACCATGCAAGAGAATCTCCTGATATTTTATATACTAAAAATGCTATTTCAATATAGTGGAGCACTGACTATACTTTAATCACGATGTTGTCCTCAGTTTAGTAATAATTTTAAATCCGGCTTGTTAAAAGTCACAAATGTTACTTGACTGTCAAGATAAATGACAATCAGGATAGGCGATACTTTTATATTCTCCTTTCAATTACAATATGTAATAAATACAATTTTAATTGTAAAACTTGAAAACCACCATTCTAGGAAACAGTTTACTTCTTTAAAAATGTCAACTATTGATGTTAACCCAAGAGCTCCAACAGACTTAACAGTCACTAAAATTTTAAAGTTTTAGTTATTTCTTCTGCTTAAAGACCGCAGAGTAAGAAAGGCAGTATCTTGTAGTTTTCCTTCTTTCTAATTTAATTTCTCTCACAGATATCTAATAGTACTATTCATGATCCAAAAGAGACAACCAAATTTTTTTTAAAGAATGATTCTATTCATATTTCCCTTTCCTTGTAAATTTTACTTGTATTAATATTGATTTAAAGCTATCAATCTTAAAAGGCAAAGTAGTTTTTCAGAAATTTCAAACATACTAAATGGAACTTATGTTTCTTTCCTGTAGCTACACTTTACTCTCACAAACTGAAATTTCTATCAGTGATATATTATTAAAATAGGATCTTTTAATATTTAATAGACTATTTAAAAGAAACTAGTTCCTTTTTCAAAGTGTATGGCTTTTGATAACTGGAAGAAATGCTTCAACCTAAAGTATTTCTAAAATATCATAGTTTAAATAGTATAATACTACATTTGGCACAAAAATGCCAATATTCTAACAATGGCAAGTGGCTTACTTAGTCATCAAGAATGTCAAGAAAGACTTGTCCAATGTAGGACAACTCTAGGCTTAAGATCTATTCATACATACTTACTTTTAGGCCTCATACAAGATAAAACTGATTCTCAAGAATAACATAGCGAGGTACAAAAAAAGGCAAAAGGGAAGGCTGATTGTTTATAGCCACTTGAACAAGAACCTCTGTAAAACAGCACCAATTTCTTTGGGTTCCTAGGTCATGCACATGCAATACTGTTAAATGAAGTTAGATCAATCTGGGCAAATGAACAGAGTGTAGATTTAGATTCTTACTGAGCATGCTCAAATTTCTAATGCACCAAAGAACAAGACTTTTTAAGGTGGAAGAGAACTACTTCATGCATGTTTGGTCTTTAAGATATGAAACCTATTTTAAAATTAGCTACTATATTTCATAAATTAGTGTAAAAATTCCACAGTAGCAATACACTAAATAATGACACGTTATTAGGCTACTAATACTTTCACAAAGTCAATTCCTACAGAGTCACATGTAAAACAGCAAATAAATACTTTCCCATCAAAGAGAAGTGTTCTTTTATACACAGTAGGGGATGAGGGTGAGGAAAGAAGAGGAGTGTGTAAAATAAATTTTCCTTTTTAGGTATCTACAATGCAAAAACAAGAGTCTACCAGGCTACCTGGCCTCTAAAAAACACATTTCAATTCTGTTTGGTAGTTATATAACAGTTATTTACAATAAATGATAAAATACAGTGTGCAGCAGAACAGCACAATTATAGAGGAAAGATGTCAGTAGTTCACTAGTTAGATCCAGGGAACTTGACCCGAAGATTTAAAAAAGCCCATCAATACCGGTTTACTCTGTCAAAAAGATAAGACATTCTTGTTAATTGACCACTCTGGGATTATAACTAAATCGGCTGGCTCCACTTTAGTTCAATTTCTCAAAGATAATATACTAACATTTTAAAATTCCTCACATATTTTTTGAAGAACAAATGAAATAAATGAAATCAATCAACACGTATTAAATAGTAAGGCTCATGTCATTTGGGTGCATTTTCCTTTTCCTAATGTTAAAATAAACATGCTCAGTAATGACAAAATCCCAAGCATTTGCAGATCTTTTGGAGGTAGGCCTCTGCCTTGTTAGTAGCCATGCCAAGCTGTTCTTTGATTACACAGGATGCAGACTCCAGGCCAGCACAAATGATAACTAAAGACTGTACCTGACCTGGTGCTAGGGATATGGGAGGTGTGCTTTGCAAGGAGAAGCTAATACACCCTGGGATAGTGGAAACACACACTAGAATGGACAGATGCTCTGCTAGGGGATAGTGAGCCAGGATCCTTCTCCAGCAACTACCTCACTGACTTCTGCCTCCTCATCTCTGTCCTACCCTCTGTTGTGGCTGCAGCTGAGTTGGGCTCCGGTGAGCCGTGCTCAGGGGTCCTGCGCACCAGCACCTCCCCCTCTTGCACACGTTTGATCCCTAGGTCAGTGGAGCCGTGTTGGACCGGGGAGCCAGGAATACTCGAGTCAGCCTCGTTTGAGAAGTCAAAGCCATCTGGGATTCAACATATAAAATTTTAGTGCTTTTGTGCTGCTCTATTCTTTTCTGAGCATTCTGACCCAGGCAGATAAGAGAATGTATATTATGGATATGATATAAACAAACACTACTTATATAGTTACATGTGTGTGCACAGCATGCACACACATAAGGCAGCAGATGAACAATGTGAGGTTTGCAAATGAATAGGACAGAAAATAGGGGTTATTAAAATGGCAGTTAGTATCTCTTAGGCAACACAGCTTAACTATTCAAGTACCGTATGCCTTTGAAATACTGCTGGATTCAGCACTTAGAAAGCAAAGATAGAAATCTAAAACCAAAATCAGTTCTTTGATGGATAGCTTGTATTATATCATTAGCTTGGCCAGTTATATAAGCTTGTCCCACAATGCTCATACATGCACCTTTTTTCCCCAGTATGGTAACGAGCACAAAGAAATGTCTATTATTATTATTCAAACTGTTACTAGTTTGGGAAAAAAACACAAATTAATTTGATTCTATTTTCTGCTGTAATATTCACAGAGCAATCTAAATGACATCTTTCTACTTTATAAAAATATAAATGTATTTATATAAAAAGAAATTTAGATACTTAATACACATTTCTAGCGATACTTTTAACAACTAAATAATTTTACTCTATTATATAGAAGACTATAAATCAAATGTTAATGTAGTCTGTAAAAACAGTGATAAATTTACTTGTAGTTCAGGAATCAATTACAGGGATTTTATACTCACCTTCTCTCCTCCACCTATGACGGCGTATTGAAGCTGTTGTAATCGCAGTCCGAGAAATCCTCGGCACTGTTGGTGTGACTTCCACTTTAAGGACTTTCTGACCTTCTTGTGAAGAATCAGGAGCATCAAATGGTAATGAGTTTTTCATGGCATTGGCAACCTAAAGTAATAATACTAAGTATATAGTATTTACAACCAATACACAGTGTTTTTTTTTTTTTAAAGATTTATTTATTTATTCATACAGAACTGGGGTACAGGCCAGAGATGTGGAGGGTGATAGGATTCACCAGAGACAGAGTGGGGAGCAGAACAGGCAGATCGACGAAGTACACTGCTGAGGGGAGCAGTAGGCGGGTCAGGAGAGGTCTGCCACGCCATGTGGTCACCTCCGGGGCAGGCGGGATCGAACTCATGTGGAAGTGGCTTTAGCTTCTCAGAGCAGTGCTTTAACCCACTGCGCCACCAGGGAGGGCCCCCAATACACAGTTTATGCTTAATCTACAGTTTGTTTGAATGGTTGAATATGTATTTAAAACTTGTATAAAATATAAAAGCACAAAAATGTCAAAAATGTATAAATATTCACTGTTCTGTATTCAATCATCTTTTTAATGTGAGAAATTATTTTTAAAAGTCACACACCCCAGATTCCCTGAAACTGTTGACTACTAGAGAAAAAGCATTCCATAGGAAAAAAGTTATTTACATTTAAACTCTGATATAAGAAAACTTAGGAAAATTTTCTGATTGTACAGGTGATAACACAAATTTTAGGCTTTTATCCACTCCTTTGTGTCAATGAGAAATTTCCCCATGACATTTCTGGCATTTTGTACCACCACTTCTTGCTCTCCAGAAAGGAGTGAAATCTCTATTTGCCCCATATTTTTAAGTGGGTTGTGCTAACTAGCAAAGATCTTGAGATACAGAATTGTCTTTCTCCTTTCTGTTCACTTTGAAGTAGAATGTAGCAACCTGGAAAAGTGTGCCTACCCACCAACTTAAATTTTTTCTCCATGGGGTTGCTCTAACACTTCAATCATGTAGCAGGGAATGAAGTTGTCTTATTTAGCTGTTATCAGTAATACAAATGACTCATTTCTCTACCTGCAATTATTTTATCTATTTATTACCTGGCTCTAGATTTAAACAAAGGCCCCTCAGACACTTGAAATTGTTAATTTCAAGACTAGAGATTATTAATCTTTTTATTTTGTCTTAGAAAAGTCACTTCCACTTAATATACAAGACTGTTACATGGATAAAAATATGAGTTAAGAGTTTTACAAATATTTTATGATGATGTACCTCTTCACTGCAAGTAAAGAATATTTTAAAAACATCATTATAGAAGATTATAAAAAGTGGGGCTCGGGGCCCTCCCTAGTGGCACAGCGGGTTAAGCACAGAACTAAGAAGCTAAAGCCATTTCAGCATGAGTTTGATCCCCAGCCCCAGAGGTGACTCACATGGTGCAGCAGACCTCTCCCGGCCTGCTCACTTCTCCCCTCAGCAGTGTACTTCCTTGATCTGTCTGTCCTGCTCCCCACTCTGTCTCTGTTGTGAATCCTCTCACTGCCCCTGAACCTCTGGCCTATAGCCCAGTTCTGTATGCATAAATAAATAAATCTTATATATATATAAAAGGGCTCCCCCTGGTGGTGCAATAGGTTAAAGCACCACATTATGAAGCTCTCGGAAGCCACTGCAGCATGAGTTTGATTCCCAGTCAGGGAGCTGACCCACATGGCACAGCAGACCTCTCCTGACCAGCCCACTGCTCCCCCCATCAGCAGTATACTTCATCAATCTGCCTGTTCTGCTCCCCACTCTGTCTCTGGTGAATCCTCTCACCCACCAAACTTATACCCTAATTCTGTAAGTATAAATAAATCTTTTTTTAAAATGTGATTTTAGAAAAAAAATAATAGTTTATTTTTACAACATTTTGTGCCTTTTAACATCTCAGTTGAAATAAACCTTTTTTAAAAAAAGATTATAAAAAGCTTAGAAAACAAAGAATGCAAGCATAAAAACCATCCACAGTCCAAATCAACTATCCTTGTCTAGATTGGAAAACTATTTATATAGTTAACACAAGCTAGCATTTTTCATTAATATAAACTTTCCACAAATATCAATTATATAACTTAATCCTTCTCTGCTGTGAAACATTTATACTATTTTGATTTCTTTGCAACTAAAAATAACAAAAATGTTGAGCTTAAAGTACAATTTTAAAAATTTTAAGGGGACGGTTAAAAAATGTTTAAGGTGGGCCCTCCCTGGTGGTGCAGCGGGTTCAAGCACAGCACTAAGAAGCTTAAGCCACTTCCGCATGAGTTCAATCCCTGCTTGCCCTGGATGAGATCCACATGGCGTGGCAGACCTCTCCTGACCCTCCCGCTGCTCCCCTCAGCAGTGTACTTCCTCAGTCTGCCTGTTCTGCTCCCCACTCTGTCTCTGTGAATCTTCTCACCCTCCGCATCTCTGGCCTGTACCCCAGTTCTGTACGAATAAATAAATAAATCTTTTAAAAAAAAAGTTTAAGGTATTCTCAGGTATACAACAAGAGCTGGGAAATTGGAAAATACATATTACTAAATAGCTTCTGTAGTTTGGAAGCTTAAAGCATTATTGGATTTTTAACATGTTTATAGATTGATCAACCTTTAGGAAATACATTTCTTTTGTGGAAAGGTACAAAATCTTATTATAAAGAACATTCATTGACTTTCATGTCCTGTCCACTGAAAATATTTTTTTCTTGATTTGTGCAATGCATTTTATTTTGCTTTTAAAAACACATGGTTTAAAATTTAGATTTTTATGTGGTTTAAAAAACATCAGAATTTTTTTAGTAGTTTGTCCTATCACTTAAAATTAGAAAATCCTTCCTTCATTAGAAACCTGAATATTGGGCCCATCCTCGTGGTGTGACAAGTTAAAGCACAGCACTATGAAGCAATCTGCAGCCGTAGTCTGAGTTCAAACCCTGGCTAGGTGGTGACGCACATGGCGCAGCAGACCTCCCCTGTCTCGCCTACTGCACCTTTCAGCAGTGTATTTCAGTCAATCTTCCTGTTTTGCTCCCCACTCTGTCTCTGGCAAGTCCTCTCCTCCCCCTTCCTCAGTGCCTCTGGCTTATACCTCAGTTCTTGTATGCATAATAAATCTTAAAAAAAAAAAAGAAATCTGAATATTTACAACCTTTTCCTTTGTCTTTTCTTAGAGAATTTAAAAACATTCAATTATTTAATTTATTTGAATTTATTTTGAAATATTGTAGGAGATAATCTAAGCTAATTTTGTTTTCTCCCAAACAAGAAATCAATTGTAATTATGGAATAAACCTTTCCCACTTAGTTATAAGAATTGCCACAGAGTATATATTAAATTTTATTTTACCCATGAGTGCCACTTTTAGGCCCAGGCATAATAAGTAAATATAATAACTTACCAATAGTGGTTGAGAAAAGAGTTCTAGCTGAGCTCTATAAATTATGTCATCAAGAACTTCTTGGCCAAGGTCCCACTGTCCATTATACCTATGGAAAAACAGATTGCTTACTACCTTTAGCAAATATCTCTAACCTTCTAATGTTCAACAACAATCTTTTTATTGTTCTTAGTCTTTCGATTTTGGTTTTGAAACAAGATTTTCACATCAATTCATCTCTAACCTATTCTATGTTTGGTTATAGAAACAAAATGAACATTTCAAATATTAATGTTTAAAATAGTTTACATGTCTCTTTACATAGTTGGGTTTTAGAATAATCTATGTAATGTATTCATGAAAATGTATATCACGAACTACATAGGGAAACATAGTTTTCCATAAAGAAAACCTGGTAATTTCTAGACCCCAAATTAATGGGTACCTATTTTATACTTTGACTATTTTAAAATACTAAAAGGACCACGAACAATTATACACCAACTATTTCAACAACATAAAAAAAGACAAAGTCCTAGAAAAATACAATTTACCAAAATGAGATCAAGGGGTGATTGCTTATGAAGAGATTGAGTCAGTAATCAAAAACTTTCCAACTAGTCTACAGACAGATTTGTAAGTAAATTCAACAAACATTTAAAAAAGAATTAATACCAGCCTTTCTTAAATGCTCTCAAAAAACAGAAGGGGAGGGAACAAATCTAAAGTAATTTTATGAGGCCACAGTTATCCTAATACCAATATCAGAAAAGAAAATCAGAAGAGACCAGTATCTGATGAACAAAGATGTAGAAATCTTCAACAAAACATTATCAAATCAAATTCAAGATCATTACAAAAGTGATATACCATGATCAAAAGGGAATTACCAATGGGATGCAAGGATGGGTCAACATCTGCAAATCAATCAACAAGATAAACCACATTAATAAAATAAAGGCTAGAAATCACATTTTTAAATATGGAAAGAACTTTTGGCAATATTCAACATCCATTCATAATGAAGACTATCCATAAAGGAAATGTACCATAATGTAACAAAGGCCGTGTATGACAAAGCCATAGCTAACATCACACTCCACAGTAAAAACTGAAAGCTTTCCTTTTTGGCAAGGAATAAGGTTACCCACTTTCAACATTTCAACACAGCATTAGAATCCTAACTAGAATAATTAGGCAAGAAACAAACAAACGAAGATACAGAAATTGAAAAGGAAATAAAACAAGTGCACTCCCTGGTGGCGCAAGGGGTTAAAGCGCAGTACTTCGAAGCTGCCTGCAGCCACTGCAGCACAAATTGGATCCCAGGCCAGGGAGCTGACCCACATGGCACAGAAGACCTCTCCTGTCTTGCCAGCTGTTCTTCTCCAGTGTATATCAGTCAATCTGCCTGTTCTGTACCCCACTCTGTTTCTGGTGAATCCTTTCACCCTCGACACCTCTGGCCTGTATCCTAGTTCTTGTATGCATAAATAAATAAATCTTTAAAATAGAAAAAAGGATACAGTGCTTAGGACTAAACTTAACAAAAAAGGTTAAGCTTTCATATAAGACAATGATGAGAAACTGAGGAAGACAGTGACCTCATGTATCCATATAATGAGTATAGTCAATAATATTTATTATGATATACATAATAATGTAATGATAGATATGCTTTTATGGCAATCACATTACAATATATAACTGTAGCAAAGTAACAAATTATATACCTTAAATTTACAAACTGTACCATGTAAAATGTATCAACTAAAAAAAATTTTTAAAGTGAATACAGAACCCGGCCTCCCTGGTGGTGCAGCGGGTTAAAAGCACTGCACAAAGAAGCTAAAGCCACTTCCGCATGAGTTGGATCCCCGCCTGCCCTGGAGGTGACCACATGGGGCGGCAGAACTCTCCTGACCCTCCCGCTGCTCCCCTCAGCAGTATCCTTCGTCAATCTGCCTGTTCTGCTCCCCGTTCTGTCTCTGGTGAATCCTATCACCCTCCGCATCTCTGGCCTGTACCCCAGTTCTGTCTGAATAAATAAGTAAATCTTTAAAAAAAAAATGAATACAGAATCAAATAAAAAGATATACTATGCTCATGAATAGGAAGAATCAGTATTGTTAAAATGTCCTTACCACCCAAAACATTCTACAGAATTCAAAGTAATCCCTGTTAAACCTCAGGTGGCATTTTTTCCACAGAACTAGAACAGACAATCTTAAAACTTGTATGGAACCACGAAAGACCCCAAATAGCCAAAGCAATCTTGAATAAGAATAAAGCTGAAGATATCATGCTTCCTAATTTCAACTACACTGCAAAGCTAGAGTAATCAAAACAGTATGGTACTGGCATAAAAGCAGACACATAGAAATAGAATGTAACAGAGAACAAGAAACAAAACCACATATACAGTAAATTAATTTATAACAAAGGAGCCAACAATACACAATGGAGAAATGTTAGTCTCTACAATATCTGGTATTAAAAACTGGTTGGCTACATGCAAAAATAAAACTGGACCACTATTTTATACTGTACACAAAATCAATTCAAAATAGATTAGACTTGAAAGTAGGACTTGAAACCAAAAAAAACCCCTTAATTCATAAGATTAATAAGACAGGATCTCCCTAGTGGTGCAAGGGGTTAAGTATGAGTACTATGAAGCTATCAGCAGCCACTGTAGCATGAGTTAGATCCCCATCCAGGGAGCTAATCCACATGTGCAGCAGACCTTTCCTCTCTCTCTCACTGCTCCCCTCAACAGTGTGTTTCAGTTCATCTGTCTGTTCTGCTCCCCACTCTGTCTCTGGTGAATCCTTTTAGTCCTTTCCCTTCATATCTCTGGCCTACACCACAGCTCTTATATACATAAATAAATAAATCTTTAATAAGGAACAAAACAAACAAAACACTTAATAGGATAAAAGCAAATAGAGAATCTGAATAGACATTCTCTCAAAGAAGACATATAGATGGCCAACAGGCACATGAGAAGATACTCAAAATCAATCATGAAGGTATTGCAAAAAAAAAAAACACACACACACACACACACACAGTAAGATATATACCTCATACCCATTAGAATGACTATTATCAAAATACAAGAGCTAATAAAGATTAGTGAGGAGTGGAGAAAGGGAACCTTGTGCGATATGGTGGGAATGTAAACTGGTACAGTCCATATGCCAAACAGTATGGTGACAGCTCAGAAAATTTACAACAGAATTATCATATGATCTACCTACTCCAATTTCAGGTATTTATCCAAAGGAAACAAAATCACTAACTTGAAAAGATGTATGTACCCTCATGTTCACTGCTTCATTATAATAGCCAACATGTGTATCCATTGATGAATGGATAAAAAACCTTGCAATGTACATATGTATATGTACACATATACATGCCATAGAATATTATGTAGCCATAGCAAAAGAAATCCTGCCATTTGTGACCAAATGTATGGACCCAGGGTGCATTATGCTAAGTGAGTTAAGTTACACTGAGACATATCAAAACATACTTTGATCTCATTTACATGTGGACCCTTAAAAAAAGACAACATTGAACTAAGAGAAAACAGATTGATGGTAACCAGAGGTAAGATTAGTGGGTGGGTAAACTGGGTAAAGACAGTCAAAATGTATAAACTTCAAGTACCTTAAGTCCTGAGAATGTAACATACATACATCGTGGTGACTAGAGCTAACAATATTGTTGTATAATTGAAAGTGCTATGAAAATAGATCTTTTCCTCATCACACACACAAAAAAGATGTATTGTGATAATTATTCTGCAATATACAGATATATCTAATCCATAAGTTATGCACCTGAGAGGAAATACAATGATAATGGTTAATTAAGTTTCAATTTAAAACTATTTATTATATTACTCTCAAACAGAAGTGTATATTTTTTACTTCAGTAAACATAATTGTTTAAAAAATGTATGTTCATTGTTTAAAAAGTGCTAAAAGGTATTCATACTAGAAAAACAAGATAGTGGGCCCCAAGTAGAATAAAAGATTCAAGATTCAGTATTGTTTAACTGATAAGGAAAAAGGAGAGATTTTATGTTTCCAAACATTAAAAACAATTAACCTAATTTCATAGTTCAACTACTTACATGGCATAATAAACACCTGTGAGAAGTTGCACCATAAATTCAGGATCCAACACTATTCGACCACAGAGTTCTTTCCACTGTTTTTCATGTTGCCGTGGAAAACCACTAACACAAACTCTGGAAAAATACATTATTTGTTGTTATGTGTGATTTCCTAATTCATTAAATATGTTTTGCTTTCATAAATTCTTTTATTCAAATGCTATGTATATTTACTGAATACCTGCTATGTACCAGTCACTGTACTGGGACTAGACATGTGATCATAAACTGGCAAAAAGATTAAAAATTAAATTTAAAAAAATATAAAAATGTGCCCTTATAAAACATATGTTCATTCTAGTGGACTACTATCAATAAAAGCAAGAACTTTCCTCAAATAGGTAACTCTTTCTACCATTCATCTCCCTCTTCACAAAAGAAATGTGTTAGCTTTGATGTACCCCAGACTGTATCAGGAAGATACGTAAATCTCAAAAATAAGAAAGGAACATTTAAAAATAATGGTTTCTATAACTTGATTTTTAATCAAGGTATCATAAGCAATCCTCTACTCATTAAGAGATGCTTCCAGAAAAGTTATGCTTAATGGTTATTAATAAAGCTTATAATGAACATTATTTTAATCAATTAAATTATCAGAATAATTGTAACGGCAATTGAATCCAAAATTTATTTTAGTGTTTGGTGAGTTATGGTCTGAGGAAACTGAAAAATTTCAATTAACATATATGTTTGTAGCAAAGAAGTATAATTAGGTGATGAAAGGCTAAGAAAAACTATCATAGAATTAGGATAAAATTTATGTGAAAAAAGTAAAATGAAAATTCAATTTCTAGGAGAAAAAGAAGTAATATTAGGTTATAAAAGAAAGTTTTGTTCATTTATTCCTCAAGTGGATGATATTGGGTACTAGACAATTGTTGTATTTACATTAAATAAATTTAAATAATGAGGATCCTTCCATGGTGGCATGCTAACTTTTTCAACCAAAAGTAGAGATTATCTGTGAAATATATAAAGGAAAAGCTCCCTATCTCTTAAAACTTTTTCCATATACAGGACTATTTATTAAAAGGTCTCAAAGTAATTTATAAAAATTGGCATCCATCATATAATCAGTATTGCCAAGTATTAAAAAAGAAAAAGAAACTGGCATCCAGACAGCAATGATTATTAGGTAAACCATTCTAAATTCAAGACTGCATTTAAATTTGATCTTTGGTAGAAAATACTTCTTTAATGCTTCAATTAAGAAGCCATGATGCATGAGGGATGACGACTGGAATTCCAACAGGAAAGTAAGCTCTGAGTTTTGTTTACTGTGATATCAGATAGAGAATGGTTCAATAAAATATTTGTCAAATAAATGAATATGAGGGTTAATAATAATTATTACTATTACCTGGAACCCATCCGACAAAGAGACTGGTAAGATGAAGCAGGCATATACACAATAGCAGAATTATAACACAACATTAGAAAACTTAGGACTTCAAACCTAGAAAAATAAAATCAAGGAAACAGATTACAATAATTTCTAAAGACATGTATCTAGTACATGAATTTTTTGTTGAATGATTACAACAAAAATGCCTTAATATTGACCTTTATGATTTCTCAGTGAGATTACTAGTATCCTCCTTAATCATTTCCCTGTTTCCATTTATCTTATTAAAGGTCATATTTCTTGCTGGTACATATATTTTCTTTCTCAAAAAATGGTTTAAGAGATGAAACTCCTCTATATAGATTAATCTATTGTCATATTCATTACATGATAAAATCCAAACTCATCATGGCATACAAGATACTTTGAAGTCCACTTTCTACCTATCTAGCCAACTTTACTTCCCTCCATGGACAACCACATACACCACACTACACTGATCTTCTTAACATTGCCTGAATATGCTAACTCCTTGCTTTAATGCAATCTGCTGTTTCTTACTAGAATATGTTTTAGTTTGGTAGATTCCTGCTCAGGACTCTGCTAAAACCTCATTCAAACTTTTGTTTTACTTTATTTTTTAAAGATTTATTTATTTATGCATACAGAGCTGGGGTACAGGCCAAAGATTCAGGGGCAGTGAGAGGATTCACCAGAGACAGGCCTACTGATGAAGTACACTGCTGAAGGGAGCAGTCAGCAGGTCAGGAGAGATCTGCTGTGCCACATGGATCACCTCCAGAGCAGGGATGGAACTCTTGCTGAAGTGGCTTTAGATTCTCAGCGCTGTGCTTTAACCCGCTGCACCAACAGGGAAGGCCTAAACTTTTATCTTAAACATACAGTCCTTTTGTCCCCTTTTTTAAAGATTTATTTATTTTGCATACAAGAATTGGGGTGTAGGCCAGAGGTGCAGGAGGTGAGAGGATTCATCAGAGACAGAGTGGGGAGCAGAATAGGCAAGTCTACTGAAATACAATGCTGAGAGAATTGAACTTATGCCACAGGAGCTGGCAATAGCTTGATAGCACTGATAACCCCTGTACCATCAGGGAAGCCCCATAAAGTCATTATTATTTCTCCTAGCTAAGAGAAACTGTTGCCTTATATGAGTTGATCTAGGTAACATTTATTCCACTGAATTGTAACTCTTTGTCTTCACCTCTGCTTGTCCATTTAGTAAAGAGCAACTTTCAGACAAAGGCCATAATTTACTCATCTCTATATCCAGCAGTCTACCACAATATAATTGCCCAATAAATATTATTGACACCTTCCTGGTGGTGCAAGAGGTTTAGTCTCAGCACTGTCAATCTATCAGCAGTTAATGCAGCACAATTTCAAACCCTGGCCAGGGAGCTGACCCTCATGGCACACCAGACCTCTCCTGTCATGCCCATTGCTCTCCTCAGCAGTGTATTTCAGTTAATGTGCCTGCTCTCTCCATTCTGTCTCTGGTGAATCCTCTCACTCCCTGCTACCCTGCACCTGTAGCCTACACCTCAGCTCTTGTATGCATAAAAATTTATAGAATTGCTAATCACTATAGTCTAAGGCAGTGGTTCCTAAATCTGGACATCACAGTTATTTCAGGACTTTCTGGAAAATAAATACCTTCTAGTGTCTCATCTTAGAATGGTCCAGTTAGAATCTATCCCAGAGAAATTATACTTCTCAAAAGCTTCCCATAGATGGAAAAAAGTATATCGAAACCCTTTGCACTAATTTTACAACATATTTTTGTGGTCTAAAATGAGTTTAAGACGAAAAGTTAAAAATAAGTTGAAAGACTTAACTTGGAAGCAGTCATATTTTTAGATCCCTTCTCTTTCTCTGTGCCACTAGGTTTACTGAAAATTTATTTTCTGAAAGGATAAAAACAAAACAAGCATGATAACCTATGAGGTTTATACCTATGTAAAGCTATTCTACATGGACGGGAGTGGACTGAGGAGAGGCATAAGTTAAACTAGTACTGCTGCAGCAATCAGGTCAATATAGTGGCCAAACCTACTGTCCCTTCCAAAGGCAGAAAAGTTTGGGTGTAATATAGGGAGAGAGGGAATAATGGTGGGCTCTCCCTGGAGGTGCAACGGGTTAAAGCACAGCACTATAAAGCTATCACAGCCACTGCAGCACTAGATTGATCCCCAGCCAGGGAGGTGACTCACATGGCATGGCAGAACTCTTCTGACCTGCGTACTGCTCCCCTCAGCAGTGTATTTCAGTCCATCTGCCTGTTCTACTCCCTACTCTGCTCCCTCTGTACCTCTGGCATGTACCCCAGTTTTGTATGCATGCAAAAGTAAATCTTTAAAAAAAATGGTAGGTGGCATAAAGTATTTAATAAATGGGTTATGCACTGAGAAAAATTCAATTAGTACATTGCTACCCAGGAGAGGTTCAGTGCAAGAAATGGTTCATTTATATCAGATCCCAGTAAGGTGAAGTCATACATTGGTGAGCTCACTATTACTTTTAGAATTTGGTAAGGTCAAATGGAAGCCTGCACACTTAAAAGGTACTGGGCTGTGGTCCTCCCTGTTGGCGCAGCGGGTTAAAGCGCTGCACTGAGAAGCTAAAAAGCCACTTCCGCATGAGTTCAATTCCCGCCTGCCCCGGAGGAGACCACATGGCGTGGCAGACCTCTCCTGGCCCGCCCGCTGCTCCCCTCAGCAGTGTACTTCGTTGATCTACCTGTTCTGCTCCCCACTCTGTCTCTGGTGAAGCTTCTCACCACCTCTGGGCCTCTGGCCTGTACCCCAGTTCTGTATGTACAAATAAATAAATCTTTAAAAAAAAAAAAAAAAAGGTACTGGGCTGAGCAATATTTGGTCATACAATATAATATGGGCTAGAATAACAGTCAGTAACAGACTGGGATTCTAGTAGTGCCAGAATCTTTGACTCTACTTCCTCAGGTTATATCTACTGCCATTCTATGACACAGTATTATATTGACAGAGTTGCTGGTATTGTTATAATACTAATATTGGTGCATCCAGATGTATTGGTAAAATGAGTAAAGCCTCCTTTGGGTGAATACTAATAGAAAATGACTGAACTGGGGAAATAACTGGATTTAGCTAAATTATCACTATTTTTATGTAAATAGTTCTGCCTAAGTTTATCATAAAGTACAGCAGATCAGGAAATAATAGGGTAAACTGGGATAGAAAAGTGTAATCGATTTGGCAGAAAAGTAAAAAAAAAATGTATGTGATAACTTGATAGAAGAAATCAGCTATTTCTTCAAACTATACTGGCTCCTTCAAATGTTAAGCATATTCACAATGATTACATCACTCTCTGTATCACAAAGATGCTATATACTAATTATCGATGCCCAGATACACATGACTATTTCCTTTAAAAGAGCCTTGGCTAGAGGCCAGTATATGACCTGCTTTGGTAAGGAATATTGTCTTGCCATATGAAAAAAATGTTCAACCTTATTTATTATGAAAGCAAATCAGAACAACAATCAGCTGTCACTCATATCTGTAAGAATGGTCCATTTCAAAAAGAGTATGAACAAGAAGTACTGGTGAGGATGTAGAGAAAAAAGACATATTCACTCAGCATTGGTGGGAATGTGAACTGGTGTATTTTCATCTATGGAAAATGGTATGGTGATTTGTTAAAAACTAGAAATGGAAACCTCATATGATTCAGCAGTGCTACTTCTAAATATTTACCTGAAGAACATAAAAACACCAGTATGGACAGATTTATGGACCCTTATATTCACAGAGGCATTATTTACAACAGCTAAGATATGGAATCAATCTAAATGACCACAGATAAATGACTGATAAAGAAGTTGTAGTCTATATTTGAGGTAATTATGCTACATGAAATAGGTCAGAAAGTGAAAGAATTACCACATGGTTCACTCATTTGTGCAAAGAAATAATCAAAGAAAACAAATTGGCAAAACATAACAACAACAACTTTTAGACTATGAAAAATATGGTGGTAATGGGGGTAGGAGACATCTGACAAGGGTGAGGGGAATGGGACTCGCTATTGGTTCAGTGGCAGTAGTGAGTGAATGAAACATGTAGACATGTTGAGATCCTTAATATGCACTGTTACATAAACAAGTGGTAAGCTGAACAATAAAAATTTCAAAATTAATTTTTAAAAGGCAATGGTTAAAAAAAGAATATGGTCATGCACTTAAAAGATCTGATTTGCCTCCCTGATAGGAAGCAACCTATGTCATAGTCCAATAGGAGTGTCTTTAAGGTGCAAGCTGGTGACCACAATAGTATGGGGCTGGCACCATCTGAAACCCTCCTGGTGGGGCAGGCAATACCAGAATGAATCACCTATGTGATCTAGGGTAGGGGTTTCGAGTCATTACGTGGAGGCTGAGATTAACCATGTGGGCAAGCTAACATAATGAAGTACAGTTAAAAACTCAACACTGTCACACAATGACACTGGAAGTATAATGAACCCTGATGCTGTAGATGAGGACAAGTTTTATTTGGAACCATCACAGACTTTACCTAAGAGTCTCTTCTTTTAACTGATTTTAAGTTATCATACATCAAACTGTAACTCAACTCTGAGTATAACAGCTTTCACTCAGTGAATTCTGTAATTTCTTCTAACTAATTATCAAATCTAAGCATGGGTTTGGACCCCTTCAAAAATACAGTTGACATCAAAAGTGAGGGCAGTATTGGCAACTATGCATTCAAATTTTGTAGTTTGTCTAACTTTGGATCCTACTATTAATCCTATTGATTAATAAAAAAAGCAAGGCACAGAGAGTAAGACAACTACCTGAGAGGGCCAGTTTCTGAGCTGTAGTATTAGAATACAAAAGCTGGTGTGGCTGACTCCATGTCCACATTTATAGTTTTCACATTGCTTTATATAAGATGATCATAACATAGTACCAAGCAAAAGATGGACTGAGTATTTATTTCACTGTCATGAAGTATTTCACTAGTATGCCATACTTAGTTTTTGGCCTCTTTTCATACCAAACTTGAACCAAGTAATTACAGTTAACTATTAACCATAAACTAACCATTATTAATATATATATATATATATATATATATAGTTTTGACTATTACCGGTTTTGTGCAGTGAATGTTTCCCTCTGAGGATGAAGATCACTATAAACAACCCTGATAAGATCATGCTGACACAAGGCCCCTTCTGTCAAAGCCATGGATCCAATTGTTGAGGGCTATAAGAATAAGATAAAATCTGAGACTCTGTGTCTCTAAAATGAAGTAAAAATCTGTAACATATAAGAGCATTAGGTTTTGTTTCAAAAAAGCAGTTTATAGGCTTTCCCTTTCAGAACATTTTCTGTTTTTCAATTATATTTATAATACAAGTAAAACTAAAAATACACTACTTTATTCTTTTAAAGATTTCAGAATGAGTCTATACCTAGGTTATAGAATAAGAAAACTTATTGTAAAAAGACTAAAGATTACATCAATTTTAATTTGTATTGCAGAACACTGGATAAAACTGTTTAAAATTATGTAACAGACAATACTGAAGAGTATTAATCAAATCTCTTTAATGAGAATTACATGTTTCTAAAGTAAAAAGAATCATCTATTCCAAAATGTTTCACTATTCTCTATCTTATTTTATAACATAACTAAAACTTACTCAGAAATATCTCTGCTAAAATGGCTGGCTATATAGGAGGCATTCTATCTGTAGTACAAAATATTAAGTGGGAATTAATTTAAAACAACAACAACAACAACAACAACAACTATCTGCATAGAGCTATGAGACTACAAGGTACTGTTTGTTGACGAGAAAATGGAATACAATCTTTTAGACTAGCTTAAAGATTTTTTTGAATATACAAACATATGCAGTAAAGATCCTAAACAGCATTAGTTTGATACAGAATGAATTTCCTTAAACAGAGATGGAAAAAGAGTCAAACTCAGCATGAATTATTGTTACATTATTCAACCAAATAAATATAAGCAAAAAATCAGAGATGCAAAGTTACTGAATAGCTAGAATGTACTTTCAAAGCAAATAAAACAATGAGTGTTAATATTGTTCTACTAAAGTCTTTTTCTAAAAAAAAATAAAAACAACACATGATTTTGAATTAATATGGAAGATGTTAAAATAGTAAAGAATATTTTGAATGTCATAAAAGACTAATAATAAAAGAGACTAATAATAGAAGTGATACTGGTGGAAGAAAGGAAAAAACTATGTAAGAACTAAAAGAAAATTCCCAGTAATACTCTATGCCTCTCTTGACAACAACTCAGCTTTTCAATAACAACAAACACCTACTTTAAAGAAGCAAATAAGTAAAGACATATTAGGAATATTCATCTCTGATTAAGAATTTACTTATTTCATACTCAAAATAATTTTAAAAATAATTCTACCTCCCCCCTCTACTTACCTCATGGTATATTGAAGGCTTGGATAAGGAAGGGATAGTGAAAGATAGAACTTTATTGTTTCCATCTTTATCAGCAATTTCCTACAATTAAAAAGACATAATGAAATAATCACAGGACTATATTATAAAAAATGGTAATTATTTTTTAAATTCACCAAATGTATAATTGGCAAGAATGATAGAAATGAGGAAGAATTTTAGAAATAGTAATATGTTAAAAAAAAAAAGTATGAACTTTTCTAACTATTAGCAACTCTCATTCACTGAGAGATAATGAGTGTAATACTATACAATAGTAAAGACATGAAGCAGGCACACAAATCAATTTTCATGCTAGACTTCCATACAGGACATTATATGCAATTAGACCCTTTAGCAGGAACATTGCTAAATTAGACAGATTAATTAGAGATCTTAGCCAAAGTGATTTATGTTTATTAAAATAAGAAAATAAACTGTTCTAACACAGATTCTAATCTGGAGTAAACAGAATTCCTACAGTTGAATAAACTAATAACCTAAAATAAGCTACATATTAACATAGTGTTAATCCCAAAATAAAGTTCATATAAACCATAAGAACATTTTAATTTTTTTATTACAAAAGTTTATTTTTACATCATTTTGTACATTTTTTTTCCATCTCAATTGTAATCCCCGCGGGTTTCCCATCACCAAGTCACCCATGTGCCATCACCATAATCCCGTGCATTTCTCTCCCCCCACCCCGTTTTTGATCCCATTCCCCACTCCACCCCCACAAAATGTCTCTGGTATATGGTTGAAGAACATTTTAATTTTTAAAAGCACTTCCCCTTTCAATAAGGAAAACAACATTATCCTTTATTTATCCAATTTCCAACACCTCAAATCTTCCATAGGTAGCTAGTAAGCCTCCCCTATGGCTGCCTACAGTTAGAAGGGTAAATGTTCCTGTAGCTCTCCTTTTCTCCACTACCTTATTTTATTTTATTTTTTAATATTTTATTTATTTATGCAAACAGAAATGGGGTCCAAGTCAGAGGTACAGAGCTGGCGAGAGGATTCACCCAAGACAGAGTACAGAGCAGAACAGGCAGATCAACAAAATACACTGCTGAAGAGAACAGCCAGTGAGACAGGAAAGGTCTGCTACACCAGGTGGATCACCTCTGGGGAGGGGATACAACTTACAATGAAGCAGCCACAGCTTGGCTTAGCTTAGCTTCCAGTGTAGCACTCTAACCTGCTGGCCACCAGGGAGGGCCTCCACTACCTTAATTTTAGTCTACGTTTCTATTACAGCTCATATTAGTACCCCTAATTAAGTTAAAATCCACAGAGAGAAGATTGTCCTTAGTAGAAAATAGGTGGTCAAATTGACATTAAGTAATTCCATAGCTTAAAGGCAAAAAACATCACCACCAAAATAACCGAAAACTTCCTAAAGGGCTCATTTCTGAGTCTAATCTGTCATAGTGTCCATTAAATGTGAACAATAGTCATATCTCTAATTGTGGTAAGGAATTGGGCATAAAAATTCCCTAGAGAGATCATTTAATTTCTCTGTAGTCTTGTTACTACCACATAGGAGAGACATTGTATCTCAGAGAAAGTTTATGCAAAGCTGAAAGAATTTTAAGTCAGGGAAATAAACTTTTTAATTTTTATTCTTAACATTTGAAACAAGTCAAATACTTCTGACTAATTTTTGTGTTTATCTGTGGAGAAAGGTGTTCTAAAATTTGTTCAAACCAAGGGCAATATAAACTCCCAGTGGAGCTATGAAGAAGAATCAAGAAGTATTAAAGAAGGTAAGAAAGGAGAGATACATAAATAAAAGATACCCAGTGTGTAAGAACAATTGAAAACCATAGAGGAGAGAGAACATGACGTCAAGGGAATTGAAGCCTGTGGTTACATTTCTGACATAAATTTTGTTTTTCTTTTTTTTTATAGCACACTTTTTTTGAGGTATCAAAAGGTAATTAAAGCATAACAACAAATACTAGCAAGAATTTATCAAGCATTCCACTACAAAATATTTTCCTTGATTTGTCACACTAATAACTTTTATTACATTAGACAAAGTAATAAAAATTTACTACATAATGTTAAATATAATCTAAAATATTAAACTCAATTGTTAAATCAACAAAAATTTATAATGGCTAAGCTAAGCACTACCGGAGATATAGTAATTTAAGAAACAAATTTCCTGTTTTAAAAGAAAAAGCAGCAGGCCTCCCTGGTTGTGCAGGGGTTAAAGTCTCAGCACCATCAAGCTATTACTACCTACTTCAACAGGAGCTCAATCCCTGGCCAGGGAGGTCTGACCCATATGGCACAACAGACCTCTCCTTCTTACCTGCTGCTCCCCTCAGCAGTGTATTTCAGAAGATCCTCTTGTTCTGCTGCCTACTCTGTCTCTGGGGAACCGTCTCACTGCCCCCCCTTGCACCTCTGGCCTACACCCTGGTTCTTGTATGCATAAATGAATATTTTTTAAAATACATAAGAAACAAAGAAAAGAAAAAGAAGGGCTTCCCTGATGGCTCAAGGAGTTGTCTCAGTGCTATGAAGCGACTGGCAGCCACTGCAGCATGAGTTTGATCCCCAGCCAGGGAGGTGACCCACATGGAATAACAGACCTCTCCTGACCTGCCCGCTGTTCCCTTCAGCAGTGTATTTCAGTACATCTATCTGTTCTGCTCTCCACTCTGTCTCTAGTGAATCCTCTAAACCGCCCTGCACCTCTGGCCTGCACCCCAGTTCTTGCATGCATAAATAAATAATTCTTTTTTTAAAAAAAGGATTTCTAGTGATTTTTTTGTTTATTTTATAAGTTTATTTTTACATCATTTTGTACATTTTTTTTTCCATCTCAATTGTAATCCCTGCGGGTTTCCCATCACCAAATCACCCGTGTGCCATCACCATAATCCCGTGCACTCACTCCCCCCCACCCCCGTTTTTTGATTCCATTCCCCACTCCACCCCCGCAAAATGTCTCTGGTATATGGTTGTTCATTATTTTTGTTATTTTCGTGCCTGGTCCATTATACTCCTGCTATGAGTGAAAAAAAATATGGATGCTTCACGAATTTGTGTGTCATGCTAATCTTCTCTGTATTGTTCCAATTTTAGTATATGTGCTGCCGAAGGGAGCACTCTAGTGATTTTTTTAAGGGTGTTCACTTAAGCCCTGGTTCAAAAGAACATATATTTACTGTTGATACTCCCTATTTTGTGAGACACTTTATTAACTGTTATCTACAAATATAACTTCATTATGTGGAGTACTTGTCTATGAGTATTGATACACAAAATTTAAGACTTCAAAAGAAGGAATTTCAATTCCAGTGTCCTAAACTAGGCACCATGATGGAAAAACAAACAGCAATGATGTTGAAGGTACTTAAGAACTAAGAAGAGAGGTTCATAAATAATATGGTACCAAAACACCAAATTATTATTAAGAATAAATTTTTAAATATGCAGAACACTCATAAATTTGGTCAAACTCATTTGAAGACATTTCATAAAATGTTAACAGTGCTATCAATTATGATTTCACCTACTTTATAAAGTGCATTATAAGCATTACTTTCTAACTAAGCACCTGTGTATTCAATTAATTCAAGTAAACTATTTAGCACACAATTCAATTATTTTTCCCCTACATATTTGTTTTTTTAAAGATTTATTTTAGCATACAAGAGCTGGGGTACAGACCAGAAATGCAGGGGGTAAGAGGATTCACTGAAACAGAGTGGGGGCAGAACAAGCAGATCTACTGAAATACACTGCTGAGGGTAGTAGCAGGCAAAACAGGAGAAGTCTGCTGTGCCATGTGGGTCACCGCCTTGCCGGGGATCGAACTTGTGCTGCAGTGACTGCAGAGAGCTTCACACTGCTTCTTCTTGACCTCTTGCCCCACCAGGGAGGGCTCCCCTCCACACAAACATTCTTTAAGCATTGTTTCACAGAACTTAATACTTAAAATTTCCCAAATTCATTTTTGACTTACCAAATTATAAATTCCTAACAGAAGTGCTTCAATGCAACCATTACTCTGTCTGTCTCGACTAACTGTAAGCCGTAAATAAACCCACATCAATTCTGGCAAGAATTGCAGTGTGAACCTCTTAAGTCGAACTTCCGAGCTACGATAAAGCTCAAACAGCTGGTGGCAGACAGGTTCCAGCAGCTAAAAGGAAAATAAAATGCATTTGTTATTTCCATTCTTTTGGTTTTAACAGTATTTGCTAAAGTCAAAATACTTGTATAATATTCTAAATTTTCATTAGTAATTTCTGCATGCTTGAATCAATGCGATCAACAGCTTAGTCTCTATGTAGAGACTACACATTAAAATGACTAGTCTACTAACTATAAGAAGTACTTTGTACCCATATAATACCAATATATTTTTTAATACACTGTATTATTCATTTTATTAAATAATTAGTTCTTGAACCAATGTACTAAACTTATATTTAGTGAATTCCCTTTCTGTTCTTACCAACCTTAACTACCCACCATTTTTAAAAGTTTCTATCTGAAGGAAACAATTTCAAATGATCTTACTGAACATAAGCTTTAAATCTCCATTCAGAAAATGATGTAAAGAAATTACATACCACTCATAAAGGAATTTTTGTACTACATAATATTTGGGCACTTAAAATGCAAACTACTATTTTTAAAACATATAGGTAAAACAAATAAATTATTTTTTAAGACTACCTTAAATTCTACTAATTATATTTTAAAGATTTTGAAAAGGAAGTAAAAAATGCTTTTTCAGTGTTTAACAGGATAATTTTTCATATGGTACCTCACAGTATAACTTAGGGGTAACTTCTTGAACTTCAAAACTGAAAATAATGAGCAGTTAAAATAAACTTATTTCCTCACTATTCTCTAAATATGTACTGCCAACTTAGAGTAGTCTTGTTGGAATACTGCAGGGTATGAAAAACTGCAGTGATTTTAAAGTGCAGATAAAACACTGACAGGAAACTATAAAATAACATTTAAATTAAAAATGACCACTACCTTTAAAAAATGAATAATTTTGTATTTAATATGCTTACCTTTATCCTGGTTAAAATGTGCACATACATTTAAAAATCTGCTCTAATATCGCTATATATGTCTATAATAATCTAACACTCTAAAATAGTCATCACTTTGAAAAACATAAATTGTAAGTTAATAAATCCTATATTGGCTGTATAGTGAATATATTTGATGAGTTAAGCCCTTAGTCTAGTAACTATTAAACCCTTTATGTGAAATCATTATTATAGAATGTTGTTATCTTTTTAAAAAAATTCTAACTCTCCCCTTATACTAAAGTCTAGAGTAGTGAAGACAATTTGTCCAAGGTCACAGAAGCTAGTGGTGAAGGAAGACACTAGAAGTCTCCTGACACAAATCTGCTGTTCTATTATGCTACATTCTTATGCTAGAATGGAGGTGGGGTAAAGGTGATGAGTATTTACTTACATTTATTCCATGGAGTACCAATAATGAAGTAATAAACTTTTAAAAGTAGTCAACTGCTGACAACTTTTTAAAGTACTGAAACTATTGAGCTTTTTGAGGGGAATTAAAGGTTGTTGCTCTCATAAATTAATTTGCTAAAAACATATCTATGTTCCAAATCTACCTTTTCCCTTTGGTAAAAGTCTCCAAAACTGTGTTTATGTTATAAAGACCAAGTTATCTTCTATTACTCAGCAGCCAGAATACATAGGCATGCAGGAAATTGTTTCAATTAAGCATAGCAAAGAAAAACAGTTACAATTAGTGCTCTGTGTTTTTTTTTTGTTGTTGTTGTTTTAAGATGAGGTTATAGGAATGCCTGGCAATCCAGTAACTTTTAGTCTCACAGCAAGCTCAGACTGTTAAAAACTCACAAATGCTATCTGTTAAGGTTTTAATTCTAAGCATTGATAACATACCATTAGGTTCTCAATTCCTCAATATCATAAGTGATTCTAACCACCTCTAAGTGGCACTATCACTCACAGTAAAAATGTTAAAAATTAATACCCTATTGTTTAAAAAAACAGTTTAAGAATAACTGACACATTTCCCAAATTTAGAGGTAATAACTATGAAGAGATAATCAATCTGACAAACAAACTGAAGGTAATTCAATTTGAGTGGGTTGAAGGAGGAAAGTGAGGTGAAGAAAAGAGGACAAGAGACAAAGGCTGCAAAAAAAATCCTCTTAAATGTGTCTGGAAGGTGGTCAAAGAAATGAGATAAATAATAAAACAGGAGGCAAATCAAAGAAGACATTTAAAAAATGGGATTTTTTTCATCATCCATTAATCAGGGAAGAAAAATATCAATGAAGGAAGAGAGGTTAATTATTAATCGTTTTTAAAATGGCTAGAGAAGACGGAACTCAGGCCTAAGTAGAAGAGATGAACTTTGACACATTCTGGGACTCTTCAGCCAACACATAATAATGATAGATTTGAATGGGAAAATAACAGAATTTCCAATTATGTTTGTATTTAATGATATAGAAAGTAAACTCAGAATGAGAAGGAAGAGGCTAAGAGGAAGTTGAAAGTGTAAAATGAATCATGGGGGCCTCCCTGGTGGCACAACAGGTTAAAGAGTAGCACTACGAAGCTACCCACAGTCACTGCATTATGAGTTCAATTCCCGGCCAGGGAGCTGACCCACGTGGCACAGCAGACATCTCCTGTCTTGCTGGCTGCTCCCCTCAGCAGTATATTACAATGAATATTCCTGTTCTGCAGTCCACTCTGTCTCTGGTGAATCCTCTCATCCTCTGCACCTCTGGCCTGCACCCCAATTCTTGTATACATAAGTAAATAAAACAAATCTTTAAAATGAACCTTGGAACAGTATAATAAGGATCTAAGAAAGACCACAAGTTTTGTTTACATGCCCATCTGAGATCTGAGAAAGTCAACAAAATTGTATTTTTTTCAGACATGTTTAGGCACTCATGTAGGCATAAAGTAAATGGATGGCTGGGTTTTAACCTGTACAAGATTTTGCCAGAGAATATGAACAGAGATAATAAGAGGAAAAAGAGCTATAATTGCTTGTAAGGATGGACCGTGAAAATTTATCTGGGAGAAGAAGTGAGACATTTTAGGTAGAAGTGTTGAATGCCGCAACAACAACAACAACAAAAAATGACAAGGGTTTATTGGATGAAGTCCCCTTAAAGCTGAAAATTGCTAGTGACTAAGGGTTACAGAAGGAGAAAAATAAAGCAATCTATTGTTCTGGAGATTAAAATTTAAGTTATAATATAGTTAGCCAAGATATAGAATATTAGAGTTCTAGGAAATATACCTCCTTAAAGCGAAATTTAGATTGTCAAAGTTTCAATTATTATATACTCATGTGACAATCTTCTCAAACAAGTCTTGTTAATGAACTAAGACTAAAGGGCCCTCCTTCTAGGGTAAGGTCCAGAATTGCTTTGAGATTCTAGTGTAAACACATGGATATTACTTTATCACCTGACAGAAGAAAGGATGCAAATGCTAATTTATTTTGGCAACTGACTGATTATAAATTGAATGTTGGGTCTTGAGCCTGGATCTTTCAAGGTGTTATTTTTCTATCTAGCCATGACAAGGCCTCACACATTAATATTATGAAATATAAAAATATAAAGTACCTGACTAACTTAATGCCAAAGCTTCCAAAGTACTTAGGGGGGGAAAGCAATATTTTTTTATACACTCATGAATCTTAATAAAAATGATAACATTTTTAATCTTGTTTTGTATATCAATTGTCCTGTAAGCAGCATTTATTAAGTGTTCATTATATACATGATCAAATACTAGATTCTAGGTAAGTAACAAATATATTCTATAACCTCTGCCCATGAAGAGCTTACAATCTAACAAGAAAGCATAAAACAATTTTAATAAGCAAAGCTTAAATGTTACAACAGTGCAGAATGAGGGGTAGGAAATACATTCATTATTGAAAAAGAATTTTGAAAACTGCTGACCAAGAAGGATATGCATTCATGTATATTACCACACCTAAAGTTATAAAACATTCATAAATACAGAGCAAGAGAACAAGCAGCAAATGAATCCCACAATTGCTGCTAATAGCAACTGATGCAAGCCTACCAGTGCCAATCCAAGTTTAGGAGAAAGGGAAGGAAGAGGTCAATAAGCAAGCTTTTAGTGATAGGACAAAAATGAAGATGCACTGTAAGTTAAGCTGCTGGTCAGGAGATGATTACCTGAACTTCTTCAACTCACTCCTGCACACAGCAGAGGCACTCTTGGAGGCTGTATCTGGGAAGATAAGATGCTACTTTCCTGTGTGTTCCTTTCATTTTCATTTTAAAGCATACATGAATCCACTGGTGAGAGACTATATGTCATTCTATTGTGTTAATGGAAAAATACTGTGTGTATTTTATATAAATTAACATAGATTCAACAGCTGCATTATTTTTCTTTTCCTATCACAAAGTTGAATAACAGGAAATTTTTATTCTAAGTTTACTGGTGTTGACTATTTAGACCAAAATACCTAAAAAGTTTCCCTCATCATTTTCAAGCTTAAATTTAATAGCAACATCATTTTATGTTACCAGTTTGAGTTCACTGATTGGTTCTATATTGTCAACAAAGAATTGCAAATAATACTTAAGTAAATCTCAATCAGTGGCTTCCAAAAAAAGGAGATATTCCAGAACTGGAAACAGAGCAAAGTTTCAAATTACAGAAATAATCTACTCAATTCAATAATCAACACATACTGTCCTCAAGAGGAAAAAATTTGGTGAAAACATTAAAAACTATGGAGAGGGCATGGGGGAAGCCAAAGCAACTATCAGAATGAAAAACAGCAAGAAGCAAGTTTCCTAGTTCCATGAAAAGGATTGAAAAAAAAAAGAGGAGGGAAAACTACAAAAGTTACATATATATATTTGGTACACACAATTCATTTCACTAGGTCAAAATTTTTTTCTTATAAACTTTCTTACCTCATTGTTAGAATCTTGAATAACTTTATAGAGGGCTGGTACCAGTGATTTTTTCCGGTGTAAAGTCGCTGCATAATTGGTGATCTGAGTGTCAGGTAATGCCTAAATGAAACATTGAAATAAAACAATCAGTAACTTTATTTTCTACCAGTTCATCTTGAAAAGATTTATTAATAGAGTCAACTAAGAAAAGTAAAAATTAGTATAAGAAATAACCATGGGAGGTTAACCTAGCAAGTCAGGTTAGGATTCTTTATTACACAATTGGTAATTATGAAAAATTATTAGAAATCATAGCAAGATTTGCTGAAATGAGCAAACTAATCGAGTCGACAAAAAATAATACAGAATATATTTGAATTCTTGCATATTATTTTTATGACATATTTACTTCCATAATGTCCACAAATTATATAGGCTTCATTCAAATCAGTATTTGATTTTCTTTTTAAAGATTTTATTTATTCATCCATACAGAACTGGGGTATGGGCCAGAGGTGCAGAGGTGGTGAGAGGATTCACCAGAGACAGAGTGGGGAGCAGAACAGGCAGATCGATGAAGTACACTGCTGAGGGGAGCAGCAGGCGAGACAGGAGAGGTCTGCTGTGCCCTGTGGTCACCTCCAAGGCCAAGGATCGAACCCATACTGAAGCAGCTCACTTGCAGTGCTGCACTTTAACCTGCTGCACTACCAGGGAGGGCCCAGTATTTGATTTTTAATTGCAAAAATAAAAACATAACACACAAATTCCATTTTTGTGCTTATTAAAAATTTGAGGTTCCCCTCTTACTGAATGTACTTTATATATAATGGGTCTTCTAGTGGCAGAAAGGTTAAAGTCTTAGCACTATTAAGCTATCACCAGTCACTGCAGCATAAGTTCAATCCCTGGCCAGGGAGCTAACCCACATGGCATAGCAGATCTCTCCGGTATCACCTCAGTGGTATATCTCAGTTCATCTGCCTGTTCTATCCTTACTCTGTCTTTGGTGCTGCCTCTCACCCCCACACCTCTGGCCTACACCCCTTACATACATACATACAAAAAAAATCCTTTAAAAAATGATAAAAAAACAAAATTTGTACATACCTCCCTCAATCTTAACAACTATTCATTTAACATAAAGTTCTTCTTGCTCTTATTCACATTGTCTTTTTAAAGAGTTTGATTATAAGAATATGTTACTGATACAGAACCATAAATACATTCTTATCCTCAATCCAATTTACCTTGAATTCTGACAACCATTCTTCCACAACACCACGTTCAGATCCCAGCATCTTCTACTTTCTATTCTTTTTTCCTCTGAAAGAAAAAAAAAAATAACTTGAAGATAGCTCTACATACAGAAACTGCCACTGGTAAATGATATGTGAATTTCACTAAAGGAAAAATGCATCTAGTACATTTTTAAGATAAATCTCAATTTAAAACAATTATTTTTCAGAACTTGCATCTATGAGTTCCATATTTAGTAAGATTGAGATTTATTTTCCTAAAACTTTTATATTCCCCCCAGCAACTATACTTCAAAGTACCCAAAACAAGTTTGCTGCATGAAATCAAACCTCATATTATAAAGGACAAATGTACAGTCTATACCTAGAATTTTTACCAAACATGAAACTAGAGTAAGTTATAACCACAGAACAAACCATGTGACAGACTGTAAATAATGAAGTTAGAAAACCTACATACCAAAGGTCATATAAGCAACAAAATGACTATAAGTGCCTATATAATAAGCCAAATAAAGCCTATGAAAAAGGTAAATTTCTAAAGGGAAAAATAACCATCTTAAAAAACCAAGTTGTATAGCATGTAAACTGTAGCTCAAACTATTATGTAAAATGTAAAAAATTGACATAACAAACACACACAACAATGAAGTGTTTGCCTTTAAGGGAAGAGTTACTGAGAATATTCTACTTATATAATTTTGAATTATAAAAAATAAAATACTGATGAATTAGTTTTTCAGCATGTAGTGAAATTTTATTTATTTTTTAAATATTATAGTAGTTTATTTTTACATCATTTTGTGCCTTTTTCCATCTCAGTTGTAATACCCGTGGGCTTCCCATCACCAAATCACCCATGTGCCATCACCATAGTCCAGTACACTTCCCCCTCAGCCCCATTTTTTTTTAATAACAGTTTATTTTTACATCATTTTGTACACTTTTTTTCCCATCTCAATTGTAATCCCCGTGTGTGGGTTTCTTTCCCATCACCAAGTCACCCGTGTGCCATCACCATAATCCTGTGCACTTCCCTCCCCACCCTCCCACCCC